AGAGGAAGTGGGGGAGCAATTCTTTCATGTGCCTGTCATAAGGCAAGCTGTAATATCTGACAAATAGCTCCAGCCACCACTAAATGTATGTAGCAACCACACCCACAGCACATAGCCTCTCTCTCTGAAGAGTGCACGTCACCCTTCAGAGGGAGCTCAAGGTCAGGGTTACATCAACTATAGTGTATTCTTCCTGTTTATGAGTAATTAGTGCTGTCAGTGTCAGGAGCACTCAGACATGTTTGAGAGAAGGAGATTCTTATTATTTTATGATACAATTCAATAGGCTCTGGGAATTCACTCTTCCTTCCCAAGTCCCTTCCCCCCAACTCCCCTCTAGTGATTTTTCCTCTAGTATTGGAATGGGTAGAGCTTTAAGAACAGTCATAAGTCTATCATTCTGCTTTTGAAGTGTCTCCTGATATTGTAGGCTTGAACAATGTCAGAGAGTCCAGCATCCTACAGTCAGGATATATTCAACTGTTTTATTGGAGTCCATCTTTGAACTGGATACAGAGATGTATACTGCACTATGTCTCCACATCTGGACATGTCAGTCAACATTACACTTCTGTTGTACATCCCCTTAAATACGGAGCCAGAGAACACAGTCTACAACAGGGTGAGAAACAGAAAATTTACATCAACATGAAGTTAAACAACATACTACAGGATGATCAATGTGTCAATTAAAGTGGTGAAAAAGAAAATCAGAAACATTCTTGAAGAAAATGATGCTACTGCATCACCCATGTAGTGCTAAAAAATCAGAAAGGAGGAAAACACCATTTCTTTTAAGAGATGACAAAAAATAAAAATATCATTGCCCATGAGATGTAGCAGGTCTGGCATGTTGGGTTAATGGCAAAAATTCCTAACACTTGCAACCAAGAGAGCGCCCCTCCCATCATGGGTCTTTATGGGGACTTTGGAGGGGAGAGGTTATGCAACAACACTGTATCATCCCCCAGTGAAGTTTCAGGTGATGACAGGTGAGTATCATTTGACTCCCAGGAAGGATTACAGAAGTCACAAATTTGTAACCCTGAACTAGCTGCCTAAGATCATAATAATAGGGTCACTCGCATTCCATCCCAAGCCTGTATTTTACCCTGCCCAGTCTATCAAGTGCAACCAGCAATTCAAAAAATTTTGGAGGGTTCCAAACCCACCTGCCTTCTTTCCCAGCTGATGTAGAAATCTGTGAATGTTCAAGTTCCTTGTGTGAAACTAGTTACCATAGACATACAACCAACACATATTCTTCAGTATACTTGAAATCATCACTCAGTAAGTTATAAGCCTGACCCAAATGCTATGGAAACAGTTGTTAAACTGTGTTGTTTAGGGAAGAATGACTCTCTGAGTCTGTAGGTGCTCAGCAATATCGAATCTACAGCTCCACAACCTTTGGAAGGACAGAAATATCTGCAAGGTCATTTGAGCCTATCAGCCTTCAGGAGCAGCCACACCTTAGCTCTTTTCCTGGAGCCATATCTGCATGATTAAAGCTTTTACACCCTAACGACTGAATCTGCTTGTGGGCTTTTGCCATGGGTTTGATCGTTTTCTCAAAGCTCTTTCAATAGGTTTTTGACACTCAAAGCAGTTGTTGTCTTTGTGCTTCCCTGATGGAGATGAGAAGCCTTTGCTTCCAGCCCTTCCAGGTCCTGAATTTGCTTTATCTTTCTTTTCTGTTTCATAACTGCTTTCAAACTGCCTGATTCTCCTCTCAGATAATGTCTTTCTTGTGATAACATACCAATCACAGTCAGTAGCAGTCATCACAAGCTGATTACTGTTCCTTTTTCAACTTCTGCCCAGAGAGCTACATGCTCGTTAGGTACCTGTTCTACTTGGCTATTACACATGTCATTTATGTCACACAGTTCATTCCTGCATGCCTCCTGCTCCCAACCCCACATCCGTGAACTCACTTGCTCACCCCATAAGTCTACACAGCCTGATATAAGTTTGTTTTAGCACATTTTGAGCCCCATTTTTGTATAGTGCATGCTAGTATGTGAGGAGTCAGGTGGGATAGTAGGCAGTTCAGATTTCTGGTTTCTGGTGAAGTTACCTTTAAAATAGAAAATTGTGCTTCCCCTTGGTAAAATGATCTTTTAAAATGTAATAATGTAAAAAAAAAAAAAACTAGGCTTTCCCCTATTTCCATACCCTTCCTGGAGCAGGTTCTCCCCCTGTGGAGGGAACAAAGAAACAGAATCAACATATTAATCCCAGTCTCTTAGAGGTGTTGCCATATCAAAAGCAAGAAGACTGACCACCACTAATCTCATCAGTGGGTCATTGCCAAAGGAATGGTGTTAGTTTTCAGCATATCGTCAGCATGGGAGAAGGAAGCCACAGTCTCACCCTTTTAATTCTGGGTGTGGTGGTAGACATTATTGCCCAGTGAGAATAATTTTTTTTCTTTTCTTGTCTCCTTTATCCTTTGAAATAATTTTCTTGATGTGGCGCATTAAAGACATGATTTCCACCATTTTCTAGGGTCGTTTTTCCCTTGGAGCCCCATCCTGTCGGGAGCCCTGTTTCTTTCCGAAATAAGTCACACTTTGCACACTAGAATTTACATGGAAATTCTTCTTTCATGTGAGACAAGAACCAAGGTTTCTGCTGTGCTTCGTGTTGAATTCTCTATAACACTAGGTTATAGATCAAGAAGTAATGCACACAAATACACACACTGGGAGACTAGCTCAGATTCCCTTTTTCTGTGGAGTTCTTGGCTTACAGATAATCAGTGAGTGACATGCGCACATTTTGGAAGGCCAGAAAGAGGCAGAGGCCAATGAATGGTGCCTTTGGGTAGGCACAAGACTTGATAGCAACCCTTTGTTTGCTGAGACATTACATAGTTCCTGTTTGTTATTTCAGAATTTCTCTGAGGCCTCTGGGTGTTGCTGAACAACAGCCCAAGCTGGTTGGAGGTATTGTTGTAGAACCCCCAAACTGGGTTCACTTGCCCAACTCACAGAAAGTCCATTATTGACATTGGGATAGTGCAAGAAATTAGATGTTGATTGCAAAGCACAGAGCAAGGAGCCAGGCCCCACCATTGCTGAATTCTAAGGCTCCCTGAGTAGTTAGGGGTGAAGGTTCTTTTAAACAGATATTGGAGGCTGGAAGATGCCTATGTGCAAGGTTCCTGATTGGCCAATGATGCCATGTTCTCTATGGAATTTACGAAGGTCTAGTGATCTCCTTCCCATGGCTGGAATTACTGAATGTAGTTAAAATATTTCCTTTCAGACAGAACTGGCCATTAAGGTTCTTATCCGTGGGAAAAACAAGTGACTCCTGGGGACCACTCCCTTAGGTCAGTGAATTTGTTTTGATAAGAGACAGGCAAGGACACCTTGTGCTAAGGGACACAGACAAGCACATCTGGGGCTAAAAGCAAAGGCTAAGAGCTGAATGTGCTTTTATTTTATAGAGTTTTGACTCCTTGGGAATGCTTCCAGAGAACCTGCTAACAGCCCCTGCTGCTTCCTGGGTGTTGGCTCCCCATTTGCTGCAATGCTTATGCAACTCATGCATTCCCTTGCTTTTTTTCTCTAAGGAGAGTCCTGATACACTGTCTTGTTTTCATGAATGCTAAATTTGAATATCAGGCGCACTGTATTTTAACCTTAGCTGTTTATCTCAGGCCTGTCTTCCCTGCATAGGAAATAAGCTTAATAAAGGTAGGGAGTTTTCTTCTTGGCATGGCACTGGAGCTCCAACAGCTTGTAAGACTTGACATTGTCAGAACAACAAAACAACAATAAATGAATGGATTTGGCAATGCACAGTCAGTTAAATTATAAGCTGATCGGTTGACATGCCTCTGTTGGAAACCCAGTGGGGAAAATAACTCTGGGATTTGTTGAGAGATACTGAATTTATACTCTGTAAAAATCGAAGCTATGAAAGATATTGAAATACTGAACAGTCAGCCTCTATATCCTTTTTGCTCTGGACTTAATGATGATTAGGGACTTAATGCTGATTAGCGGGGTGACCTCTAAAATAGTGTGCCCTAAAGAAACTCTTTTAGAGCTCAGTAGTTATCACTCAAGTTCCAGTTATCTGGTAGTCACAACAAAATCTAACTAGGCACTGAGAACATGGGAATGGCTTCCACGTTGCCAGTGTGATTTTAAGCTCTCAGTCTTTTGTTGACATAAGCATTTGGCTTGGAGTTGCTCTGAATTTGTTGTAGCTTCTTCCTTTTCTTTTTATTCTGCATTGTGTTGTTTCAGAAAGTTTTGAATCAAAGTATTACCTATCATTGTATCAGAAAATATTTATGGATTATATACTGTGTGTTTGACACTAATAATTTTAAAATATTTACTTTTTTAACAATTGTAGAGTCAGATACTACTATTTCTCCCATTTTATGGGTCATGCCACAGAGACTGCCAAGGTCCAGCTGCTTGGGTTCATGGTCTGCATTCTCACTTTGAAATATATTTCAAACTCTTAGGAATATTCATTGTTAACCCAAAACGCCAGACAATAGTAAGTCACACAAGAGGTCTTTAGTCCAAAGGGAGAGGTGGCCATGGGGAGGGGAGAGAGAAGTGGGGCTATCAGGATTAGAACTGGTGCCCATATGGGATCACGGTGTATGCAAGGTGAGGACTTTAGCCACTAAGCTACTGCACTGGGCACCCACAAAACTTTTGAAGATCATACATCTTGTACCATCTCTCTTTATACATTATACTTTTGTTGCAATTTTAGACTTACAAAGCATTGTTACATCACATATGGGATCATCCTATTGACTAATAATAACATTGACTATTGTTTATTGATTTCTTTCCACATTAAGTCCAGATGCTGTGTTAAGTAGGAACAGAGAGAAAAGTAGGGAGTTGAGAATGTAACCATTGAAGAAGAGTGAGCTTTTGACCAAATAATAATAATAATAATAATAATAATATAATGCTAAATGAAACTGCCTCTTCTCTCCTTTTGCTCTGTTTTAGGAATACCAAATTGACATATTTTTTGCTCAGACTTGGACAGACAGTCGCCTTCGGTTCAACAGCACAATGAAGATACTCACTTTGAACAGCAACATGGTGGGGTTAATATGGATCCCAGATACCATCTTTCGCAACTCTAAGACTGCTGAAGCTCATTGGATCACCACACCTAACCAGCTCCTCAGGATTTGGAATGATGGGAAAATCCTTTACACATTACGGTAGCATATTTACCTTTTACATATTTAAATATTGCACATAATCATGGGATACCGTATGATGCCTTGTTACATGAGTGCACTAAAGAATTCCCATTTTCTGAAACATCCTTACTCTATGTTTTGGGAAACCTCAAATTGTTCTTCCCTAGTTATTATGAAATGCGCTACAAATTAGAGAGCACGGTTATTCTATTGTGCCATAGAACACCAGAACAAATTCTTCCTATATAACTATGCAAATCTTTAATTGCGTATGGATTTAATTTTAGAAGAGTAATTAAATCATTGTCAGGGTAAGACCCTATTCTCATCTCTAAGTTCTGTTCTCTCTCATTTGACATAAGACAGCATCTTGAAAAATTTTGTACTAATGCCAAGTGTGTAAAAATAAACACACACAATTGATATGCCATGAATATAAACTCATTCCTTCGTTAGAATCCATTTCTGCTGGAGTGGCTTTAAAATTATAAATGATATAGTTAACTCATGGGTCCACTCAGCTAGGAAAATGCAGATGAGTTTGAGTCCTTATTCAATTGTAATTATAGCCAAGTTTAAGACCACATGAAGAAAGGGCAAAGTTGGCATTTCCCCAATGCATCCCTGAGGAAGTAGCAGCTGTCCTGTGATGCTTTCTTTTGGAAGTGGGATAGTCCTAACAAAAACCCAGCAGGCTTGCCAATGTCATTGCCAGAAACAGGAGTTATGGATTTGGCCTGAGTCTACATCTTGCCAAAGTCCTCTTGCCAGTATGATCTGACTTGGCCTGCGTGCATGGTTTGCACTCCCCTTAGCAGCGGTGCAACCTCCGCAGCCTCTAAGTCTGCCTGTGGGAGTAGCACACAGCCGCTGGGTGTCCTCTGGCAGCTAGGTGGAGCAGCACACAGCCGCTAGGTGTCCTCTGGAGCAACACACAGCCGCTAGGTGTCCTCTGGAGCAACACACAGCCGCTAGGTGTCCTCTGGCCACTAGGTAGATCAGCGCACAGCCGCTGGATATTCTCTGGCCACTAGGTGGAGCAGCACACAGCCGCTGGGTGTCCTCTGGCCGCTAGTGGAGCACACCAGCGCTAGTGTCTCTGGAGCAACACACTCGTAGGTGTCTCTGGCCACTAGGTAGATCACGCACAGCCTGGTATCTCTGCCACTGGTGGGCAGCGCACAGCCGCTGGATATTCTCTGGCCAGTAGGTGGAGCAGCACACAGTCGCTGGGTGTCCTCTGGCCACTGGGTGTCCTCCTGCCGCTAGGTGGAGCAGCACAGAGCTGCTAGGTGTCCTCTGGCCAGTAGGTGGAGCAGCACAGAGCCGCTGGGAGCTCACTGTACCCTTCTGTCCTGGAGCTCCCTCGTGTGTTGGGCACACTCAGCTGTATTCAGGCTGAGGAGTCTCACCGTCTCATCTCCAACCCATAATGTTCCTTCTGGACTCTTGAGTTCTTGGAGTCATCAGATTCAATACAGGTCAGGGAATCCTCTGACGTAGGTTCACACTTCCTCCCAGTTCAGTTACAACATCACAACTCCCCTCAACTATCCGTATATCGGGAACAGCGATTTTCCTCCCCTACCCATATCCAGTAAGGAGAGCTCTTAATTATGTATGATTTGTGGCCATAACAAGAAATCTGTGACTCATTAATGTCAAACAGCTGTCCCCAGAACAAATATAGGCTCAGATAAACATAAAGTAAGAGGCTTAGAGAATTTAAAAAATTCAGGGAAATAATAATTTTGCCAGGCAGGGAACAATAATAATGTAAAAACTACAAGAGGGAGTTTCCGTGAGGAAAATTATTGAATCAGCTTCAGATTTATAAAATGTGTTCCTGCATCAGTGTTAAGGCAGTAGGAATGAGATTCTGTGTTGAACTGGAGCCTCGGCAAACAAGCCTGGAGACCTGGGTGATTGTGACTCACAGGGGTCTCTGCTCTGGAAGAAGTCAGCGTAGCCTATAGTGAGCAACACCTACCTCGTGAAATAACTGGGCATTGGTCCAAATAGGAAATCTCCCCACAAATGAAGGATATGAAACAATACCTGGTAAGAAAAGTACACCAGTTTGAAAATGGAGGAAGGGGAGCTGTCATTAAGAAAGACACAGCTTGGGACACACGCTTCCCATACCGGAGACTCTGGGTTTGAGTCCATGTTCCACTTTCGGTTAGTCTTGCTCATGTGTCTCCAGGGAGGCAGCAGGTGGTGACTCCAGAGCTTGCGGACCTGCCACTAGCGTGGACAAGTCAGATGAAGGTCCTCAGCTGCTGTAAGCAGTTGAGGAATGAATCAGTATATGAACCATCACTCTTTGTTCTCTCTTTTCGATTAAAAACAAATGCAAATTTAAAGAGGGAAGAAAGGATTTCATTCAGTCAGATGGCTTGATAATGACTTACAATGTTAAATATTTCACTTAACTACTTGCCACAGTTATATTTCTAAACACAGTCTAGAATCTTACTAACTGGAATTCTCTTTGCTAACGGTAATAGTCAAAAGCAAAGGGAAATTAACAATAGCAATGCAAGAAAGGGTCTCCTTGAGTGAGTGATACAGTTGCCAAGATTGAATTGTGTGTCATACCCTGCATTGAGTGAGCTGCTGACTGTGCTGGCACTGTGGTGCCTTAACTGCCCCGTGTCCTTGCCTGGGGCCTTTACTGTGTTGTTGCTGACCTTGAGGGCAACTCTTGGCTTTTCCCACAGGCTCACCATAAATGCTGAGTGCCAGCTGCAGCTGCACAACTTCCCCATGGATGAGCACTCCTGCCCGCTGATTTTCTCCAGCTGTGAGTACCAGCACTATTTTGGTTCATGAGCACTTTGCAAGGAATATATGGCCCAGCATAGCTTTCTGGCAGTCATTTGATTAGCGGCATTCTCACTGCTCAACCAGAGACAACTGACAGCAGTTTTGGTTTCAGGCACATGTGACTGTCTTACATGGAACCATGTATGAAATATACAACATTGACAAAGCTGTGGTAATTTAGTCACTGATAATAACATTTTAGAATTTAGAAATCAATTAACAATTGACTTACCAGACACTCTTGATCTAATGAGCTATGCACGTTGTTTGGAAGTTACAACATTTCTGTGCAGTATTTCTAGGTTTAAATAAAGCCAGACAATTTATGTTCTAGAATGATTTAAAAAATTTTTTCCATTGGATAGCTTTTTATTTGTCTCATTTGTTGCAAGAAATAAGTTTTCAGTCTATTTTATCTTCCAATATTTTGTTTAGGATCGATATCCTAGCTGTAAAGTAACCATTTAAAAATTCTTTATTATAGCATCTATTACTAAATACCAGAGTATAGGTAAAAGCAAATATCAAATGTAAAATGCATTTGCTTACTTATAAAGCTTTTAAGTAAAGGTCAATATGGAAATATGTCTGTTGAATTTATGATGGTTCATTTTAAATATATTAATCACAAGTGCTTATGTATGATTCATAAGAATCCAATTAACTTTAGTAGCTTTCTTTAAAATTGCATATGCAATATGACAAATACACCGGATGGAATCTCAAGCTGACTTTATGAAATGATAGATCAACATATTTTGCAATTCATTTTAAGTTCATGAAAAGAGAAAGAGCAAAATTTCGCTGATCTCCTAGGTTTGGAAAATGATTTCTCATTCCCAGAACAGTTTGATTTGTTGCAAACAAAATTAACACATCCTACAAACTCTTTTTTCAAAGCCTGGCAAGTGGGTGCTAATGTCTGTGAGGTGTGATAAACCTGGCTGGAGTGCTTGGGACCACCAGTTCTCCATTTGCTGATTTTAAAAGCTCATGGAGCATACACATGATCTAGAGCCTTGTGCATGAGTCTAGTGTGCCTGTATGTGACGTGTCTGAGGGACTCGCTCCCTTCCCTGTTTCCTAGGGACGTTAGCTCTGTTGAGCCTCCAGTGGTCTGATATGAACGAATCTGTGATGATTGTGATTGCAATAGTTTTATGTATTATTGAGCATTGTACTTATTTTTCCAATATCCCACACATTTTGACAATCACTGATTTCTTCACCAGTGTTTGAGTGGCATCCACTGGTTTGGTTTTTCTGAAAATACCAATATTTGTGGGAGCAATTTATTGTTCCATCATTGGTAGCCTGAGTTTTTGTTTCCTGAAACGTTTTCTGATTCTTGTATCTAATGTGGTCTCTTCTAAGGACAGCTCTTTCTGCTTCTGCCTGGTTTCTCTATTTTTATTGATTAAATTTTAATTTTTTAAACCGACTAGCACTGATAGTTGTCACATCTACTACCAAGCTCAAATTCGCTGAAATTCTACAATTATGCTACCGATTCAACTCAATGCTGGTTGGTTTTAATTTTGTGATGGCAACTTTTTCCACAAATACTTATTATTAGGACATAATTTTCACTCAGCACAGTATACCTGTTCAATGAGTTCTAAGACCTTCCCACACCTGCGTAACCATCATTACATGCATGGTGAAGAGCGTTTTCATCACGTCAGATGATCCTTTTCCGGATCTTGTCATCAATGTCCCTACCTTGGCCCATGACGGCTGGTTACGAGCTTTCTGGCACTATGGATTGATGTGGCCTATTCTAGAGTCTCAATTTTGTGTCTAACTTCTTTCACCCACCACAATGTCTTTAAGGAATGTGCATGTTGAAAATGTAACAGTTGTTCATTTTCTCATCAGTAAACAAGCATCGAGCCCTGGGACCTGGACCATTTAAATGGTGTGCATTCTTGCCACATACATGTCTTTGTGATTTCAGGCTTGTGGTTATAATTTCTTCAAGCAGGGCAGCATATTTTGCAATTTCTTATTCCCATTGCCAAAGCTTGCCAGGGAATCTCTTTTTACAGGACATATTTCCTGAGTGCTCCCTCTGAGATTTCCCTCTTTCCTGGGCCCAGCCTTTATGTGGGGTCTGAACAGTACCACCATCCTGCTGAGGCACCAGTGTTCTTTATGTCCCTGCCCTGTCCAGGGGTGATACCCTCAGAAGCCCAGATCTGGCCAAGCAGAGACTGGCAGGGCTCCCACACACTCCCAAGGACAGCCTTCTCCCTGGGGCCCTTATGTCTTCCTCTGGTGGTTTTCCTCATTCTGTCATATTTTTAAAAATGTGTTTAAATATTTTATAAAGTCTTTCAAGTATTCTGTTCCAAGAGGGGATTTTCTGCACAGTGGGCTTGCGATATTGCCAAGAAGAAAAGTGTTTATAGGGATTTTTTTTAACAAAAGATTTTTATAGAAATAGAATAATTTAAACTTTAAAGAGAATTTGTGCATACCATTCATGGAAACCCTGCTTTAAAACCTTAACTGTTACTTAGTGCTTCCTGGAATTGCACAAAATGTTAGGACAAGGTCTTATAAAGTACCAATGTGCAGACAAGAATGGTCTGTGGTCCTCACTGTTTCTGATTCCACGGTTCTGCTGTGGTGTGGTGGTGATGTGCTCAGTCTGGTACATGTAGTTGGAAAGTGACACTTTTAAGATGTGGAAAACAAAAGCTACTACATCTGAAAAATCAAGGAATGGCACGATTGAATTTGTGGTTGACAATAATGAACGGAGACTTATAAGTGCTAAGAAGTAGGCATGTAGAATACTGTTTTCTTACTAGAATAAGTAAAATTCAAATGCTTGAAGTCAAGCACACACAATGATGTGGAACAAGAAAAACACCTCCCTTCTCCCCATTGTTGCTAAATACAAAACGTACCATCCACTCTCGAAAGCAATCAGTGGTTTCTTATGCTATTCAATGTATTTTTTTTTTGGCAAATGATTCAGAATTCATCCTTTCTGATATATATCTAAAGGAATCAAAAGTTTACGCCTACAGAAAAATCCACATATTGGTGTTCAGTTTTAGTTATTATATTGGCCAACGTTTGGAAGCCATTGAAATGTCCTTCATTATGTGAATGGAAAGATGAGCTGGTGTATTTAGATGAGGGAATATGATTGGGCATGGAGTTTTAAGGCCTAGAAAGTATGCAGAACTATCTCAGAAACATATTGCTAAGAGAAATAAACTGGTCTAAAGGGCCTGCAATCCTTATGGTTCCAACCATAAGACCTTCTGAAACAGCAGAACTAGAGCAGCAAAAAGGTATTTCCAGGATTTGATGGAAAGAGAGACATGAATAGGAGAAATACGTAAGGATTTTAGGGCAATTATTCTGTATGATATTATAATTGCAGCTATTGGTATTGCATGATTGCCAAAACCATAAAATGAGCAACACAAGAGTGGGAGTCAATGTTTACCATGAAAGTGTGGTTATAATGACATGCCAATGTAATTTAATTGTGCCTAGAATGCCACTCTCATGGAGGATGTTGATAAAGGAAGAGGCTATAAAGAGATGGATCTATGTGATCTTCATACATTTTGATCAGTTCTGTGAGTCAAACCCTTATATTTAGAAAAATTTTAGATATTGACAGATGCTGGCATGCCAGCAAATAGCGAGTGTGTGTGAGCCACAAGCACGCAGACAGCACACCACACCACTGGAGTACCGGGCTTGGGGAGCTGTGCACTCACAGGCGTGGAGACTGTGGATTGCACAGGGTAGGGGATATGGGGATGTGTAAGAGGGAAGATATCTGAGGGAGAATGTTATGGGTGAGGAATGACTTCTGGGGAACTTCCACCAACTGGACTGTTGCACTTGCATGTAAATGAGGGGACTGAGACCAGTAGTTTGGAGGAGGGAACTCAGACAGCCTTTCAGGATATGGCCAATGCGCCCACCCACTTGGCAGACCTGAGCTGGGCTGGTTGGTGTTGGTCACCAGTGCACATGAAAACTAGGGCTTGAGGACTTGCCTGGCAGGGTTAGACATGTTGCCTGGCAGTGAATGTTGGGGGTAGGGAGCGGGCCACGTTAGGTTGTACCATGAAACTAACTGGCATGTGAGAGAATCAGATCTGGGGCAGATTCTGTGGAAAATTCATGGGCTCACCCTTATGGGATTGCAATACCCACTGGTTAGCTCAAGGGCTGGGGTTGCTGACAGGCCACGCTAGGCATGATCATGGAAGTTATTGACACTTATGGAAACAAGTTGGCAACAGGCAAGGTTGGTTCAGGCTGTGGCACGAGCAGGAATACCCAGGACTGGATGTAGGACAGGCCATGTCACAATATCCATTAACATACTCAAAGGCTGAGACTAGGGAGTGGATTATGTCGGGTGGGGTTCTGCTCCCTCTGGCACACATGAGATCTAGGTCTGGGAGTAGGATTGATAGGAGAACTTGGCTAACTTCCCCACTGGGCTGTAGCTTCCAAGGATGAGTGTAAGAATCAGAGCTGGGTGCGAGCCAGATGAGGTAAGGCTGCTCCATTTGTTAGCAGGTGTGTGGGCTGACTTTGGGGGCAGACCAGTCAAGATGAGACCAAACTATAGAATATTGGCACCTGCAGGAGCCAGGATGAGATGTGGGCCATGCTGGGCTAGGTTATCAAGAGCTGGAAATGGGGTTAGATGGGACTGACCATGGATGTAACATCCTTTTGCATGTGTGTGGACTGGGTCTTGGGGGTGTGCCAGACTGGGCTAGGTTCTGGTGCCTATTAGTGCTTGTGAGAGCCAGCGTGAGCATGGAATAGGTTGAGCTAGGTCGCAATACCCACTGATCCACATAAGAACCTCGTCTGTTGGTGGGTCAGGCAGGGATTGGTTGTAGCACCTAACAGTGAAGCCGGAATGCATCTGGGCTGGTCTGGCAAGGCTGCAAGACCTGCTGGTGAATGTTGGGACTGGAGGTG